CGGATTCACTACAGCACGAAACAGTGCAAAAACGCATGATCGCATAGGCCCGCCTGGTGCGCTTCAGTTCGGGAGGGGCGGGGATGCGGGTACGGTTTGGGAAGGGCGAGGGTACGAATGGGGTTCGGGAGGGGTGAGGGTGCGGATGGGGTTCGGGAGAGGAACAAAAGGTCGAAAAAAGGGAAAAAAATCAAAAAAGGAACAAAAAGTCGAGAAATAAAAGCAAGGATTTCCGAAATAAATTGTGGATGATTTAACAAATACCGGCGAAGATAAGACGTTTTTGATCTGGTGGAATACCTTCATTCCCTGTACCTTCGCCTAAACGTTCTCGCTGGTGTCAAATGTTTCAGCGTCCAGTGTGATTGTTTTGCTGGTTAGGCTTTCCACGAAAATGCTGTAGCAGCAGCATTTGGAGGAGCGATACGTAGTATTTTTTGTAATCCGGCTCGCATTTACGCCCCTCTACTCCTCCTTTGATTCTTCTGCAGACTTTTCCGCCCGCTATACCAGTAAATGACGCCCTAACGAACACTGTCCATCATCTCCGGTTTCATTAGAACTGCACATTTCTCATGACGCAATGCTACTACAGCAGCGATGTTTGGAGGAGCGACACAAAGGTTATTTGTAACCTGCTCCGGTTTTGCGTCTCCTTCCAATGTGCGGATGGGGTTCGGAAGAGGAGAGGGTGCGGGTGGACGAGCGGGGTTTGGGAGTATGGTGCTTCCTAAACTTCAAGGACCAGTATGTGAGGTCCCAAGCGATCTTATTACAATGAGAAATATTGCAAAACGCATGACCCCGCCTAGTGCGCGTCGTCAATGATTTAGAATTGTCTCACTCGATTTGGCATTTTTATGCGCATTCGATTCATGCTAGCGTTTTTAATTTTTAATTTTTATTCTTTTAAAGATTCTATCCGATAATTTAGTATTTTTAAAATTCTATCCGATAAGTGTCAGCATTTTTAATACTCAACCAGACTTAATTTTTAATACTTTTTGCATACGACCGGACCGATAGAAGGTCGTGTCCGCATGTGTGTAGTATTTCTGCTTTTTTTTTAATTTATATTTTTAGGCGGAACACATTCCGACTCCGGAATGGTTCGTAATCAAAATTAGACGGCTTGTACAACCAGTGTGAACAAAACAACTCTCATGTCTGAAAGGGTCAAGTGACGTCAAGCTCAGGTAGATTGGAGTTGTTTAGTGGTCTGGCCAAGGAACAGCACTAAATTTAAGTAAAGGATGAATTACTGGGAAGGGTTGGTAAGTTTGATAAGCTGGGAGAGCAAGTTTACAACTAATGTTTTCGAGCGATAGCTTTTCACTGCATTCTTTGCATCTGTAAGATTTTTCAATTCCATTTTTTCCAAAATGCAAATTACTGCAAAAAAAAAGAAAATAATCAAGAATTGCTGCACAAATAAAAAGATTGACAAGCATGCCACGAGGAAATGAAGAAGTCAAAACCCTTTTCCGCTCGCTCTTTATAACAGGCATAGGCATTCTGGGGTAGTCCGAGTGGCGGCAAGTGCCAGGGACACGCACCCACTGGCAGGGCCACCGATGGTTTTCTCATCAAGAACTGCTTAAAAGCAAGCTGATGGTGAACTTGACTCCCTGACAGGTGCGTGCAGTGCCAATTTACAATTGAAACGAATGAACGAATTGTAAAGGGGTTGGTTATCGTGTCCTCAGACCTTTTGCACAACAGTAACACAACTTCCACTATATCAGCCGAAATGAAAAAGAAAGACTGTGAAACTGACAAGAGAAGAGAGCAGCAATGCGCAATTCCGAAAATTATCATACAACCACATGAAACAAAGGCTGGAACGCACCAGGCGAGCCGGTGCGATCATGCGTTTTTGCATCAAAACTA